GCAATCACCATTGTGATTTATGAATTTATTGATTTTATATTATGAAATTGGAAAGAGAGGAAAGAATATACAGGAGTTCAATGATTTTGAAGATTTTGCCTTAGGGCTAAAAAATGCTTTACTTATAAGATTGGCACTTACAGTTTTATTTATTTTTAGGGCTTCCACAGTAGAGATAATGTAAGCTAGGAAATATCTACCACAGTCTCCATGCTGAAGAGCAAATAAAATAGACCCATTTAGTTACCATAGTCTGAGTGATTTGGGGATCTACAGCCTCATGTAATTTGTGGTTAATATTTTTGTGAATTTTTTTAATTGGGGAACTGTGTTTTTCCAGGACCCATCAGCTCCAAGTCAAGTAGTTGTTTCAATCTAGTTGTAGGGGGCACAGCTCAGTGGCCCATGTGGGGATGGAACCGGCCACCATGGTGGTATGAGCCCGCGCTCTAACCAACTGAGCTAACCGGCTGCCCTGTAGTTAACGTTTTTAAATACATGAACCTTAAATATTTGTCCAGGCAAACATTTTAGTATTCACATTCAAATAAATCTAAAAGCTAAAGGAAAAGTTTTTGACACTATGTATGTTTAATGTATGAGGTGTGATAAAAAACTACGGTGACTGTTTAAATTTAAAAAAACTTATTGGAGCAAAAAGCACATTGCCATAAATCCCCCTCAAAATACTCCCGCTTGCTTCAAATGTACTCATCCCATGGTTCTTGCCACTTTCTGAAGCAATTCTGTAAGCCCTCTTTTGTGAGTGTCTTTAGTTGCACTGTCGTGGCTGCCTTGATGTCCTGCTTTGATTCAAAACATTTATCTTCCGTGGTCATTTTGACTTTGGGGAAGAACCAGAAGTCACACAGTGCCAGATCCAAGAATAAGGTGGATGAGGACACACTGTAATGTTTTTATTTGATAGAAATTGCTGTATACCAGAAGGGATATGTGACATGGAGCCTTTCTGTTGCGATCAGAAAGTACAGTGAATGCTGCTGCCGAGTGCCATCTGACGGAAAGCAGGGATCTTCAATACAGGAAGCGGTGTGTCGAACCTTAGTAACAGTGTGTGACAAGTTTCAACTTATTTGGTGCAGTCAGTCAGGTGTAAGGTAAAATTGAGAGAAGGTGTGTTTTAAAGTATGCCATAAATCATCCTCCATCATGATAACACTCTGTGTCACACATCACTTCTGGTACAACAGTTTCTGTCAAATAAAAACATTACAATGTGTCTTCATCCACCTTATTCTCCGATCTGGCACTGTGCGACTTCTGGCTCTTTCCCAAAGTCAAAATGTTTCGAAAGGACATCGAGGCAGCCATGACAGTGCAACTAAAGACACTCATGAAAGAGGACTTCCAGAACTGCTTCAGAAAGTGACAAAACGATGGGATAAGTGTGTTTGAAGCAAGGGGGAGTATTTTGAGGGGGATGAATGGCAATGTATCTTTTACTGTAATAATTTTTTTATTTAAACATTCACTGTATTGTTTGATCACACCTCATATGTAGTGCCTTTAATATATTAGGAAATAATTTTATTTTGGAAAATTAGATGCATTTTTTTCTTAAGAGTATACTGCTCAATGCCCCTAGATGTAAAATATAGGTATGGAGTATGGAATATATGAACAGTATGAATTTAGCTGCAGAATTTATGGGAACTGGCTGGGATACATTCGAAGGCTGCTATAATATATAGTACATATATATAATATAGTACATGAAGACCTGGATGCCCATCTGGCATTCCGAGTGCCACAAAGGCTGCAGGGCATAGCCACAGAAGAGGAGCCTGGCACCTCCTATCAGGCAGATCCTGTTGTGTTGCTACTGTTATTGCATTGCAAGCATTGAATGTGCGTGTTATCCATAACTTCTAAAAGTAATACAATATACAGTGTGTTCAAAATATAGGTTATTTCAACCACAAACCTAATATCTATTGAATAAAAATAAGAATACTACCCTGTTGCACGGGCATCAAAATTCAAGAAAGGGAATGGAAAGTAACTATTTTTGTCTAAAAGCTCATGTGTGCACAGTAGAATACTCCTGTATGGAAGATGAAAAAAAATGGAAGTCCTTGGGCCAAAGAAGCAAACCTGATAGGTTTAGTTAGACTCTCATATGTGGCTCTACTTAAAAAATTGAATTGGTGGCCAACATTTAATATAATTAAAATGTAAATTTTTAATCAAATCATGACAGTCTGTCTTACCCATTTAGAGTTACTTACCTGACTCCTATAGAATTTGAGTTGGTGATCCCTATTTTATGGGAAGACAAATCTAATAATCCCTTCCAAAAGAAAATGGCAGAATTTTGGAAGATTATATTTGCCTTGATAACCCTTGGATTACGTCTGCATTGATAGTAGTATTCTTATCAGATATAGAAAGCATTATTAATCAACTATAAACTAAGGGATTTAATTTCAGGAATAAAAAGCACACAGGCTCACAGGCTTAAATATATCAGGACAGGTGTAACCATGAACTCTGAAGGCTTACGGAATGTTTGGGGTCAAAGAGATAAGGTTTGAATGGGACATGATGTCCCATATTGATGTCAAATGTTACATTTCAAAAGCAAAATCCAACACCATTTTAAAAGTTAGGTTTCTAAAGCATCAGTATGTGTTAAAATTCAGCAGAGAGCTGAACTCACTTTGGAAGAGAGTATGATAACAAGAAGAAAAAGAAAACGTTTTGATTTGTAACAAGATTATCTAACACAGATCAGTTGGTAGTAAAATACTTATAAATTATAAAGGCTTAACTGTTCTCCAAGAGTTAGTACATGTATGCCTCCTCTCTCCCAAATATGTAGCAGGGGAACATCTGGTGACTCTGAGTGGGATCAGGGCAGAATTGAGTGATCTGGCCATCCAAAGCTGCAAGAAGGATTATCCGTGGATGCATTTGGAGTATATGCTCCTTAAGAACCATCACTTGTCAAAAAATATCTGTGTAACACATCACTACAAAAATTATTAATTCTGCTGTCAGGCAGACTTATTTTCAGCTAGATTTGCTTTTCCTGCTCTCTTGAGCTGCTCTGAATATAAACAGGTATTGAGGTGAGATGCCACGTGCACAGAATTTGCTGATGATGTGACACCTGAAAAACTTGTACAAGAAGAAAGAGAAAAATGGTAAAACTCAGTCTGATGCCACTGGTGGGGGCCCAGATGACCAGGACATATGGACCAGGCCAAGCAGAAGCATTATCAGCCTAGAAGCTTCCTATGTGCAGCTGCCCCAACCTGGACAAGATGTGTTGGACTCTAAACATCAGCAGTGCCCGCAGCACTGCACACTTAGTTCCTAAACCAGACTCCAAGTTGCATCATGTTCTTCTGAGCTCTGTACATTCTATTCTCTCTGCTTGAAACACTTTCTCCTCCCTACTCTTTTTCCTATTTCACTACTTTTTACTCATCCTAGAGATCTCAACTTAAATATTTCTATCTCTGGGAGCCCACCTTGACCTCCCAGACTAACCTAGGTGCCCCTTGTTTGTGTCCCAACAGTACCCCCAGGACTCGAAAAGCACTGATTACACTGAATTGTAACCCCTTGTTGACTTGTCTATGTCCTCTCATAGCTGCAGAGCTCCACGAGGCCAGGGGCCAGGTCTGCCTTGCTCACATCTGCATTCCTAATGTGGAGTAAGTTACTCAGAAGATGTTGGTTAGATGGCTGAATAAACAGAACCCAACTTTTCTGCTTCTTACCTCACTCAGGTACTCTCAGCAGGCCTCTCAGCTGTGGGGCTGTCTAGAGTTTGTGGGCGGAGCATAGAAGATGGCCAACAATGGCCTTGATGCCTAACAGTTTCCCACGATGCAGAAATTCTTGGGACAGGTGACCCAGATGTTTGGTATGCAGCCTGGAATTTTCACAAATGGAAAGAATGAGATGGGAAAGGAGGATGTGTGTGTGGAGGGGAAGAAGGAAGCTTAGAAATATCTCTTCAAGGCAAAGTAGAGCAGGTAACATCTTGACCAGAAATTAAGAATCGGAGACCAGAGGTCAGAGAATCAAGAAGGATGAAAGAACCAAAGGTGTTTTGGAGGAAAGAACTCCACAATGGAACCAGGAAGCCACCAGAGCCCCTTGTCCTGAGCATGATGTCTACGAGGGTGTGCAGAATTAGTAGGATTAATAAATGTCTGTCAGTTGGGTTCCGTTGTCTCCATGATATTGGGCATTCTTTCACCTAACAAAATGATGGCTGATCTTGGGTAAGGCAGGGAGAATCTTATCCAAGGGAGAGAGTCAGCAGACATCAGAGAGGGCAACAGGCAACATAAGACCCAAAGGTGAGAAAGACACTAAACACTGACACCAGGAGCTGGCACTGCTTTTCCAGTATGCAAGCGGCCAGATTGCAGCTGGTTGTCCGAAAGCACAAGCTCTCAACACCTCCTGTTCTTAAGGAACATTGGTCTTTGTGCACCAGGAAACAATGCAGCTAAAAAACTTTCAGTCTTTCTATGGTCTTCAGCCTAGAGTGAAATTCTTTAACATGGCCCACAGAGTCTGTCGTACCAGCCTCATCTTTGACCATGAGTAGCCAGGCAATTACAATGAAGGAATGAGCGGCCTTAACCTAGAGAGGACTAGGTGTTCTGTAATCAGAAGGATCTGGAAAAGGAGAATAACTCTAGCCTTGTTCGTCAAACAAAGAAGAACCTGGAGAAATGAACGAACTCTCTCCAGGGGCAGGGTGGCAAGAGCTCCCCTCCTCTGCCTCCAGCATCTGCTTAAGCTCTTCCTGCCTCTTCTGGGCCTGGGGATCCTGGGACCCCACCCCTTCTTAGTTTGAGTGGGGATGGCCTAGCTGTTTCTGGTGCTGGGGCATCACTTGTCCCCCTGACCCAGGGAGTCTCTAGTAATAAACCATGGGTAGGACTGATTCCAGGAGTGGGCCCACCATCCCCCACATAGGTGATATGCTGAGGTTCGTCAGGCAGGGAAGTTACCTCCTCGGCCCTCACTGGCAGCCGGCTTCACTTGGATTGGACGATTCATCTGAAAGACATCAGACCAACACACCCAGTCAGCATGACTGCCTGACCCTAGGAATCCCCAGCTTCTCCACCCCCTGGACTCTGCAGAATCTAAGCCCTGGCCCCTCCGAACTCTGGACTTTACCCCTCTCACACTGGGATTACAGATTTTCTCCAGGATTCCTGCCTTAAATCCAGGAATTTAGGAGGTGCTGAAAACTAAAGGGTCAGGTAATAGGAAGCTCAGTGTCAAGTACAGGATGGACTGTGGAGGCTAAAGAGGTTCTCTTGCCTGGGGCTCCAGGCAGGAGCCATGTGAGACCTGTGCCTCTGGCTCCTGGACTTCCTTAAAGGCTTTGGGTGAGAGGAATTGGGTGGGAGTGTCAACGTGATATTGCAGATTTGTGTATTGAGAATATAATTCTATGTGTCATTTAGATTAAACAATCTGGGAATCAGGCTTAGTGCTGTCTATCCCTGACTCTGCCATTTCATGGTTGTATGACATCCAATAAGCCAACTTCTCTCAGATTTGATTTGTTAAACGGGGAAACACTTCCCCAAGCTCCTGTATCACCATAGTTTCTACCCCTCAGTCCCTTCCCTGGGCCTCCGCTTCCCATGCGGATGTTGGGATTCTCCAGTGCATCTTTCTGCTCCTCCTATTCTTCCTGGATAATCTCACCCATACTCACAGCCTCAGCTACTGTCCCCACAGGGATGACTCAGACCTCTGCATCTCCAGCCCTCCCTCCCCTCTGAGCTTTAGACCCAAATGCCCAGCTGCTTGCTGGACCTCCCGACTAGAAAGGCCCACTGGCATCTTACACTTGACACACCCAAACCAGAGTTCATGTTTTTGCCTGAACTTGATCCTGCTAGTCATCCAAGATATAAACCTCAAAAGCAGCTTGACTCCTCCCACCTCCTCCCCCACCAACCAATTTCACCTTTTAATTTGGGGGTTCCCTGATCAGGAGTGGATAAGAATTACCTGGAAACTGTATCAGTCTCTCAAGCTGGGGGATTGAATTTGTAAAAGCTCTTAGGTGTTGTCAATATACACCCCACACATTCCCATCCCCCAACCACCCTAAGAGAATTCATGATTGAATCCCCATCTCACCTTCCTCTCATGGGTGTTGTGGGGATCACATGAGATAATGGGGATGCAAAAGGTCTTTGTAAACTGCCAAGAGCTGGGTGCGTAGGATGTGAGGAATTATTGTTGGGGGGCAGATAGCTGAGTGCCGGGAGGAAAGAACAGCGGCCTTCCTGGTCATGGAGAAGGGGTACTGATGCCCATCTGGCCTGAGAAGGTGATGATCTGACCCCCTCCCCTCAGGAAATGCACTGCTTCTGCACCAATCACAGGCCACTCCATCCTCTACCAATGTGCTCGTTGCCAAGACAACAGGCAGCTTCCTGTTACCATAGCCACAAGTGCTACCCAGTAACCATGGTAACGCCCTGGCAGTCACAGTTGAGCAATTTCCTTTGGATCAAATTTGGGGGTGGGGAGTGGGGAGGGTTTATGGGGGG